CTGCTACCTGGTCCCACACTACAGAGGCACAGGAGATTATAAAGACCCTTGTCCTGAGCGCCACAAGATAGAGCAGAAGTTAGTAACAGAAAGAGGGCTTCTCAGGCTCTTCGATGAAAACTAAAGCTCAGTGGAAAAGTAAAGAGAATCTTTACAATAAAGGCATGTGCCATCAGACCACAGTACTTGGTCTGCTGCGGGCTTGCTGAGACTCATTGACTCGTATATGCACATGGATTCCTATGTTGCCTACTGTGAGAGGAGAGACATATCCTGAAGCAGGCCCATAATTTCTAGTGCTATTTGCAAAAAAGAAAAAAAAAATTTTTTCTCCTATTTTCAATTCTTAATTTTTACTTTCTCTCTAGTCTTCAAAGTTTTACTTTTCTTTCTTTTCTTCCTTTTATCTTTTTTCCCCTCTCTCTCACACTCATTCTCTTGCTGTCCCACATTACTCCTCATCTCCCTATTTGTTCCTTTCTGCACTGAATTTGGATTTCTCCCTTATTGTTTTGTTCTTCTCTTTTTCCTTCCCTTGATTTTCATTAGGTTTAAAGGAAAGTAAATTTGGTATCCAGCCTCCCCGTGGCTGTTAGGTGATTCTGTTCACATCTTTGTTGTTTCATTCTGCCATTTTCTCTTGCCTTTAACAACTTCTTAGAGTTTGTGTGATCTTTCTGTGTCTTCGGGCCTCACCACTAATCTTACCTGTTCTTTCTACCTGTCCCTCCCTCCCCAACTCCTTTTAACTCCCCACCCAAAGGGGAAAGATGCTATAGTGAAGAGCTTATTCATTATAAACTTATGTTAGGTTGGTCCTCAATTTTAATTTAACTCACAGAGTTAAAATTGATAGATTAATAACTACCACAAATTGTCATTTTCTAAGCTGTGCTTGATGCCATGGTATTGCTGACTATGTCTTTTGGACTAACATGTTGTGATTGATCTAATTAGTTTTCCTTACTGGTATAAGGAAAATAAAATAGCCTCAAAGCCATTTTCCTACCTGGTATAAGGAAAATAAAATAGCCAAACACAAGCTATATCTAGAAGACACCTCTGAAAAGCAGTCATTCCACGAGGGTTCTAAACACAAGCAATACAGATACCTACATTAAGCAATTTTGAAATATCAACCCAGGAATTAAACCAAGGACAGTACCAAAATCAAAAATGAGAAGACACTTAAGCAAGGCACAAACACAGGCTTCCACTCAACAAAAAGGAAATTCTGGGGGAAATGAAGAGGAAAAGTCTAACAAGCAACCACTTGGACACCCTGAACTGACAGCACAGGAAGTAACAAAGCAGATACATGAGGTTCTAGAGAAATTCAAAGCAGAAATAATCTCTCAAATAAATACAGACATGGTGAGCAGAATGAAAGACATGATTAGAAGCTCTAGAGCAGAAACAGATAAGAAAACAGATGAGATCAGAAACATGCTGGAAGCCATGAATG